CCAGTGTGGTTAGGCAGGTTGCAGTTGTAAAGATGAATTGTGGGATAACTGGTAGGGCACAAACAGGGTCTTCATGGTCTCTATTACTAGCAACAGACCTTATTGTGGAAGCTGATAGAGAATGGGAGTCCACTGTGCAAGGTGCTGTACAGAGATTATGAAAATGCTTTGAGCTTCTCCAATGGAAGATAGTATAGGAGTGCCAAGTGTTGGTTATTTATATATCAATGAGGTCCCTGCACTGCTTTGACATTTTAATTTAAATTAAAATCTTTTAATTGAAATAAATGTGAATCTTTCATTGGAATTTAAATATTTTCATTTAAATTTGTATGGGTTTGTTACTGTAAACTCCACTGTGGAGCCAAAACTTTGGAACCTAGGCTACCTACATTCTTCCTAACAGAACTTTTGTTGTTGTGACCCAAGATAACTGCAGAGCTTGCTCAACATTTCTGGTTTCATTTGCAGACGGCAGTTATCACGTATGACTACCTCACCTCCCTTCGGAGCGTCCCATATGGATCAGAGGAGTATGATTTCCTCAAATCACAGGTAGGTGAAAGCACTGGACTGTGTTCCTTGGAAACAGCAAGGCATGGGTGTGTTGCCAAAGCCATTGCTGTAAAGCAAAACCATCAAGCTGTCAGCTTAATAGTTCAGTATGCCTTCTACCAAATTGGTAACAGCAGAGGCAACCTGTGCTGCATATTACATAGGATCCTTGCAGGACCTGCATCACCCAGTGGAGAAGATCTCTCATCAAGAGTAACCTCATGCAACCAGTGCTCACTTATGTCCATGAGAGATTCAAGTTCTCAGCGTATGGGATAAGATGCACGTGGGCTCTGTCACCAGTTCTCTGCTGCCTGGACTGGTTGTGCTGGGAGGGGACTGGCAGTGATTTCTTAACCTGCTTATTGGTTGGTGATGGCCATAAAATGAAGGCTGGGGGTTTTAAGTAAAAGGAATGTGTTGGAGGGGAAATAAAAGGAATGAATCAGGCTTGTGGATCTGTGAAGAAATCAGAATTGGGCAAAGAAAGGTACATTGCAAAACATACTGTTCTGCTTTGATGTCACTGATTAACATAAACAGAAAAAGCATTTCTAGTGAGAAGATAAGCACCCCTGTTGCTCCTCTCAGTCCCGTGCTGCACCTTTCATTCCAGCCTGCAGCCCTACAATACTTTGAGCTGTGAGTGACACTGAGTTTTAGATGAGTGCATGTGGTGTACGTAGCCAGGGTCTCTCGGCTATTCCAGCTCAGGGCCTCTTTTGAGTGGGAAATACAGCTTGTGATGAATTAGGCCAGTCTGCACAGTATGTTTGAAGTAAGTTCTTTAACCTCATTTTTCTTCTTAGTGCATGTAGGATTTAGGCCACTGGTGTGGTTGTAATGCATGGGGTGGTGCTCTCCAGGGACTCTCAGACTGGAGGGACACCGAATCTGGAAACAGCAGCGGGCCAGGTAGAAATCAGTGGCACTGTGCTCCAGCATGCTTTAGTATTCCTTTGGCAGAAAATCCACAGCACCATCAGTGTGGGCTTAGAATTTTGGGGATAGTTTACAGAGAGGGTTCTTGGGGCTTGTTCTCATTCTGTCCTGTTTAAAGATGCTAAGCTGTTGTGCCTCATCCCAGGTGAGCAGCACTGATGCTCTGCCATAAACTGAAGATCGATGTGTTGGAGTCTGGAGCTTCGCTTTCCATCTGCCCATGTCTCTGCCAAATGCCTTTGAAACCTGGTTTGCAGAAGGGCTGCTTGTAGCTTTCTTGAGTGACACCCAAGTTGTGGAGCTATCAGTGCTGTGGACAGCTTGTCATTTGGCAGCAGTTTGCAGCAGCCCTTGCAAATTCCCGACCTTTTGCCATGTCTCTCCATGGCTTCATTAACCTCTCTCCTGCAGGTTTTGATGGTTTGTCAGTTCATGCCCCAGGCAGCCAGAAAGGGCCCTGTTTGCTGGCACTGCACAGGGCTGTGCTCTCCCTACTTGGCGGCCAAGACTAACGGAGTCAGCCGCTGCGTGTGGCAGAGCCAGTGGCGAGCACAGCACGTCAGCATGGCACGAGAGGACTCTGTGGCATGGCTGGCACTAGCCTTTGGCTGCATGAAGAGGAACAAGGTAGGCGACAGAGAGGAGGAAGTAGGTGCAGGCATAGCATGAGTTAGCAAAACTGGTTGGCTTGTGGAGGCCTATCCTGATGTTGGCAGGTGTTATGGAGAGCCACCACTGAGCCTGACAGTGACAGCCCTTGTGGGTTCCTCAGCAACATCCCTGTAGTGCTTCTGCTAGCAAAGCATCAGCTTGGCAGGGGAGAATTTTTTGGGCCTGGGCAATTGCACACCAAACCCTTTATCTCAGTGCAGCTCTAAGTGGATGGCAACCAAGTCTTTACCATCTTGCAGGTCTTTTAACACTGTGACTTTGTTGATCTCAGACTAGCTCAGAATGACTTCTAAGAAATTCCCCCATTGGAGTTGGTACTAAATGTTAATCACTGGATGGGGCCAAGAGGATATAAATGCCCCTCCCAAGTAAGTGTTGTGTGTGAAGGATATGTACTCAGATGTTGCTTCTATTTGCCTCTGTCCTGGGTACATCTCTGGTACTCTCAGCCATTCATTGTCCTCTCTTGGCTTTCTGTCCTTCGAGTGAAGCCAGCTTAACCTCCTCTTCATATGCCAGGAGTTTGGATTTTCTTTTAAGCATGCATATTGAATTGGTTACCGATTTCCAGCTTCACTTTTGGTGCTGTGCTTGGAACAGAGCTTCTATGAGGCAGGGATTTGGTGACCCTGGGACTGCGGATAGTGCCAGCAGGTCTGGGTGCAGCTGCTGTGCCTCTGTCTCCGGTGAGGGGGTGCAGCTGCATGTGTGTCTGGGACAGGCTTGCAGCTGGGAGTAGAAAAACACTTTGTGTGTGCATCTCCTCCTGCTACTCAGCATACTGGTGTGTGCTACACCGGTGCAAATGATAATGCTTAACTCATTCTCCACGGATTCCTGGTCAACCATTAAACTGGAGCCCTAAATTACCCAGGGCCGCAGATGAGAGATGGGAAGCCTCAATGGCAGCACCAGTCCCTGAGCCTGTTGGGGCCAAACAGGGATGTATTCATTAGGAAACAATTAAATGCAAAGCAGATTAAGAAGGAAATGGGTTCCCCAGGGGCTTTCAGCCAGGTTCCCACTTAGCTCCAAGGAATTCTCTTCAATCTCACTCTGTTTTTCTGTCCCTCATAGGCCGCTTTTGTTGCTAATGCTCTCAGCCTCTCAGTTCTCAGCACCTTTTTATGGCCAGCAGATTGGGGGTGTATTTACGTGCCTCTATGAGGCAGGAAGCAGTAGCTGGAAATTCACTGTGTGTCCCTGGTGTTGGTTTGCCTCTTTCTGGTTCTCCTGTCAGCCAGGAGAGACAAGAATCCACCTTCCTGATGGCACCCACAGGCCTTTCTCAGCAACAGTCGAGAGAAAAAATGTCTTATCTTTTCCATTCCTGCCCTTGCTTGTAGCAGGGATGAACCTGCTTAAGTGGTTAGGCTTTATGTCCATCCCAGTGGTTGCTTCATCTCACCACTGGTGGCTGGACCACATAGGTAACTTGGTCTTTTTCCTGAGTTAAGAATCCTTTTCCGACATGTCTGCCCTTTTCCTGCATATGATGTTAATGCCAGTGTACTGATGATGGCCAGTGGTAGCCATGGTTAACCCCAAGACATTGGATGTCTGTAGGTCTAGTATCAGGAGCATTAGGGAGATAAGGACTTTTTCCACTTCATGTCTGTTTCATTAAATGATTCTGGCCAACTTTGCACATGTGAGCTTGGGCATTTCTTTCCGTTTCTGCCCCTGCTTGTGCTGGGTCAGAGGAGGAAGGAGGGCAGCCTGCTCAGTGCCATTTCCCTACCTATTGCTTTCTCAACAAACTATTTTGTTCTGTAGAGTGCTGTATTTCTCTGACATTCTTCTGCCTCCTTGAGTTTTTGTCTCCTTGAGTGCTTGCCTCCTCAGTCTCAGGTCAGCCTAACCTGTGACATTTCCAGTGTGTCTCTCATTGTAGCACCTGGATGTCTTGGTTGACACTTCCTGTACTGCTGGCATCAATTTCTGTTGATCCTGCTGTCAGTCAGGAGGTATCTTACAACATGCAGTTTGCTTAAGATCTGGCATCAGTGGGCTTCTGAGTTGTTGTCAGTGTAGTAAGAGGATTGGAATAGGTTGGTCATCTTCCAGATTTTGACACTAGTGGCCACAGTTGAAAATCTTGAGCAGAGCATTTTTTTGTTGTTTTCCTATGTAAGACAAAATATTACTGCTGTGGATGTGGATACAGGTATTTTTTTAATGGAGAGGAGATAGCAAGGAGAGAAAGGATCTATGGTCAAGGTGTCTTGGGAGGCAGTGGGAATCCATTCTTGAATTAACTTTGTTGGCTACAGAATTGCTTTGTCAGGGAAAATTCATTTGTGGAGGTTAATGAACTTTTGTCCTTTTGAGAGCAGAATGAGGGTGTTTTCATTCACGCTCCTGGTTATTGGGCTGTTAGTATCTGAGCAGATATTTGGAAAGCGTACCCTTGTGCCATCATTACACAGAATATGATTTCTTGCTCCTTGGAGGCTATTCCTGTTGTTTGTTGTGTTTGTTTCTCACAGTGGGATGAGTGTTTCCAAAACGAGCTGTGTCTCATAGTGAAGTTGCTCAACTGAAGGATTCTGGGAAGAAAATGAGTGGGTGTACATCTGTGTGTGTGTTTTTAAAAAATAACCTACAGTTTTTGGACAGTTCAACGAAGTAGCCCGTGTCTTTGGACTTCCCTTGTGATTCTGTGTGCCTTAAATAATACGAAGTCATGCCCTAAAATAGTTTCTTCATGACGGAGGTAGACTGCATCCGCAGGGAGAAATCCCTAGGAGCTCTCCATGGCATTCCTTCAAAAAGGCAACTGTGAATGGGGATTGGGGGCTGCTCTACACCACAGCCAGCATGTGTGGTGGTGGTTGTCTTTGCCTGTGCTTCAGCCTGTGGTGAACTGGGATGAGAAGCAAATGAGCTTCCCTGTGAGACATGGAATAACCATTAGGTGACAGGGATTTTCTGCCACCAAGCTAAATGGGAACCACTAGCAGAGATGAAGAGCTTCACAGCCTGTCCACAGTCCCAGAGCTGATCGTGTTAGGTTGCCCTATTATGTGCTCCCTAGGATATCTCTTTGTGTAAAAGGCATGGTCAATGCTAATGTAGTCTAAAAAAGCTACTAGCAGGGCCAGCTGGTGGCTTGATGACTCTACATTTGGGCACTGCTGTCTAGCAAACTTCCTGCCAACACATAAAGCATGAAAGCTTGGTGCTGAAAACACATAACAAGCTGTAAAATAAATCTTACAAGAAACTTCCTTTTCCTCCTCCTGCTGTCTAGAGTGGTGTCAGCTGAACATCGTGGCCACAGCATCTCTAGCTTTTAATTTTGTAGCATTAGGAAGGTCCATTTTTTTGGGGATGTGTGCCTATTAAACAGGATGTTCTTCAGTCCTCTACAGTGATGTATTGAG